CACGGGGGGAAACAGGAAAGAGAGGCTGCACGACAGAAGGGGTGCGGAGGCGCCGCAGTGGGCGGCGCCGATTTGATGTTGTTTGGTGGGGTGGTAGAGCGGCGCATGGGCGCAGGAAGGGGCGCCGAGGCGGCACTAGGCTGCCGCCTCATCGCGCCAGCTCAGCACCTGCCAGCTCAGCGCTGCCAGCTCAGCGCGCCATGTCACGAATGCGCTCCAGGTGGGTGGCCAGCTGCCTGCGCACAACAGCGGGCGGGGCGACGGCACAGGCGGGTCAGATGAGTCGTCAGCTTCCCTGCCAGCACAGCACACTACAGGCTCCCCAGGCTCGCCATGCTCGCCGGCCACCGCCACAAGGCTTGCCAGCAGCCCCAGCCCCAGCCCCAGGCAGCCAGCCGCCCCGCAAACCAGCCAGCCACCCCGCAAACCAGCCAGCCAGCCAGCCGGCCGGCCCTGGCGCCCCACCTGCACGAGGGCCTCAGCGCCGGGTCCTCCACCCAGCACGACTCCATGAGCGCCCGCCAGTCGGGCTCGCACCAGGCCGGGATGGCCAGCCGCAGCTTGCCCAGGCCCAGCGCTGCAGGCGGGTTGGCAGCGCCGCCGGGCGGCGGGTCAGCGGCGGTGCCGGCAACAGGGGCAAGACGCAGGCAGCAGCAGGGGCAGGGGCGGCGCGCGTCGCGCGCGGCGCAGGTGGGCGGCAGGGAAGCGCGCCAAGGCACAGCGGCAATGCGGCGAGCACTGCGCGCATGGGCGCGCCGCCAGGCCTGCAGCCCCTGCGGGCGATCTTCCCAACAAGCTGCTGGCTCACCTCCGATGAGCTGCGCGGGCGGCATGTCTGCAAAGGGGACCTCCAGCGTGAGCATCTCCCAAAACACCACGCCCAGGCTCCACACATCCGCCTTCTCTGCACCAGGCGGGCGCGCGGCAGCGGGCGGGGCGGCGGCGGCACGTCAGCGGGCACGCCCCCAGCCGCGAGCAGGCAGGCAGGCGGCAGGCCCGGGGGAAGGCAGGCAGGCAGGCACGCCAGCCGACTGTTGGTCTGGGCGCTCGCGGCACATGCGCTGCTACGGGCTTACAGGCCCGCCCACACCCAGCCGCAGCGCACAGCGCGCACAGCACACACAGCGCACAGAGCCAGCGAGGCGCCAGCGGGGCGGCCGCGCCACCCACCCGTGACGTGCGTGTGGTCCATGATCATCTCTGGCGCCATGTAGGGCAGCGTGCCGCGCAGGTCGTGCACGTTGGAGCAGAAGGTGTTGTACTTGTGCTTGGACAGGCCAAAGTCGGCCTGCGGGGGTGCGGGGGGTGGGGTGGGTGGGGAGGGAGGCAGGGAGTCAGCGTGGGGGAGTCAGGGGGAGAGGAGGAGGGGGCCTGCTGGAGGCTCAGCCCAGCCCGGCGCCACACGTGGGGAGGGCGGGCGCTTGCCGCAGAGGAGTGCAACCCTGCACCCTGCACCGGGGGCAGGCCCTCCACAACCACCACCCCTCCCG